CTGTACAAAATTCAAATGCTCTGCTTACATATCATTTATTGGTCAGAAATATTGCAGCGGGGATTATGGCATTGGATAGTAAAGGTGATGTCTCATTCCAGTTCTGGGATTTGTCTAGTTAAATTGATGGCTTGTTTGACAATGCCCCACTCCAAATCAGAAATGTTTTAAATTTGTTTTGGAAAATTTTCATGTTAAAGCATCAAAGCATTTGTTCATTTGCATTCCTCCCTGTGCTACACAATTTGCTCACATCTGGAGACCACAGGTGAGTTTTAATTGTTTCTGAGCTAGCTGTCACTGAGGTTGCCGCGGGAGAGGTAACCTCTGAGCCGCTCTGAGGAGGAGGCCCCGCCGGGCTCTAGTGCAGTCCCCTTCCTGGGGCTCTGCGTGCAGCGACTGTGGCAGTGCTAATCAAAATCTTTCCAAGTTAAACCAACGGTGGCAGGCAGAATAATGGCCCCCAGGATGCTAATATCCTAGTCTGGGAAACTATCAATATAATTACTCAGCAAAAAAATTTTTGCAGATAGGATATTAACTGCCCTGAGAAGGGGGAGATTTTCCAGGTGGGCCCAATCTGATCACATGTGTCCTTAAAAGCTGAGAACATATCTCAGTCATTGTCAGAGAAGACAGGTCAGGAGTTGGAGAGAGGCAATGCTGTAATCTTTGAAGACCGTGAAAGGAAGCCACAAGCTAAGGAATGGGGGCACCTCTAGGAGCTGGAAAGGTGAGGAAATGGATTCTCCTCCAGAGCTTCCAGCAAAGAAAGCGGCCTTGCCAACATCTTGATGTTAACTCAGTGAGGCCGTGTCAGACTTCTAACTTACAGAGCTGAAGGATTATAAATTCGTTGTTTTAAACCGCTGCATTTGTAGTAATTTGTTACAGAAGCAATAGGAAACTTGTAGAGCATCCATCCATGGAGTCCCTGGACTTTCCTTCTGCAAAGAGGCTGTGGGAAAGCCTGCCGACGTGCCCAGCCTCAGCGTCCAGGGTACCCTCTCCAGCACAATACACACCGTCATTGCTTCACTGTCCTTCTGTGGTGCAGATGTGAGTATCTCCAAACAACTAAAAGACATGTATCATGATGATATTTTTATGGATTTCAAAATAGTGACTCTGGGCCATAGCAAGATCCAAGAGTTTTGGAATCAACTTATAAACATGATCATCAGCATTGTTATGATTTAGTATATACAGTAATATTATTACATTTTAATTATTTTAAAATGTTGAATCCATCAAGGCCCAGAACAAATATTAGAAATCTATTGTTGAGGTGTCAGATCTGATAGTGGCATGTGGCTCTATTTCAGCAGAAAAAGGCCTTCATGTAAAGCACAATAAATACACTTTTGATGCCTTCTCACTTCCTTTTCTGAATCACTCACTGCTTCTGGGCTCTCTCATGGCCATACACAGGCCACCGTTGCAGAACGCTGACATTATCTAAAATTATTCCATTCTCTGCTCACTTTCTTCTTTTCCCTAAAATCAAAACAAGTGTTTGTCTTTAGCAGGTAGGAAACCAGAAGATTAAAGTAACTCACTCTAAGGGTAAAGGTCTCAACGAGGGCACGTGAGGTTTGAGGAACTTCACCGTGGGATAGTTTTGAAGCAGAGTATTTTGAAAGGGATGTGTTTGTTGCCTGCTCTTGGCTCCACTGTGCAGTCTCCAAGCATACACTGAATATCTGCTAATGTATGCACAGCACAGCCCCGGCAAAAACAGCCTCCCTAGAAGGTTCCCCCAAACTATTTAAATGACATCCCATTATCCAGAATTGTCACCTAATTATAAAAGTGGCTGGTTGGAAATGTAGCCCATTACATGAGTGCATTGTAACTCCAAATATAGTTGAGGTTCTAAACTAAGGAAGGAGAGAATGAATACCTTCTCTACTAAGAAATTACTTCTCCAAGCTGCACAGTGCCGGTTTAATTCAGGGCAGCTATAACAATCTGAGTTTTAAACAACTCAATTTTTAGCAATCAATGGAGTCGTTATCTCTAAGATTTTAAAGTTCTCTATTCTCTTCTTGCCAATCATTTGTACTTTTTTCTTAATTGGCTGCTATTTTCAATCAAGTACAATTGACTTAAAGTAAAGCTAGAGTCACATTCCACTGATTAGAGTTGTCTTTTAATGATTAATGAACCCAGTCTGAAACTCACACTGTGTTTATTTAGAACATGATAGCATCATTCAGTAAGGAACTTCCAAGAGATTATTTGTTTTCCATTGCCACATTTCTAATCAAGTGCTCGTATGCATAATGAATGCTTCAAGACAAATCTGTTTTTTGCCTTGTTTATGAGAAGAGTCATCTTAATGGCAAACCATGAGCATGTTGAGATATATTGTTTGGTTAAATCTGAACGTGAATTAATATTTCAGGACACATAAAACAGTAAAATACAACAGTCTTTAAAATTCTGATAAAATCGTATGAATTCAGATATGTAAGAGACCCTGAGATTCATGTGGCCAACCCCTTCTCCAATTCCATGAATGTCATCAGCAGCAGGTGATTCTCTAGTATCCTGGGAATGCCCCTGGAAGTCAGAAACTTACCATCTCTTTGGTCAGTCCCCTCTAGATGTCAGTACTTGTTAGAACATTATTGAACAAAGCCACAAAATTTACTTCCCTCCTCCTCATCTTTAACTTTTTCTACCCCCTTTTGTCTCTCTAGATCTTTATGTGCTGGGCACTTACCTTAGAGTAAGCGGCCATCAGTATCGACAACCATACTAGAACAATGTTTAACTTCGGAACAGAATAGCAGAAGTGCTGAAAAGCTCACCAGAAAACTACATGAGTCTGGGAAAGAGATAAAGAATGATGGATCAGAGAGGGCAGGGAAGCCTACTTCAGTAGGTACAATTTGAGCAGAGATCTGAGGGAAGTGAGAGAGCTCTCCATGCAGATATCTTACTCTGCCCAGAATGCAAGGCAGAGCAAAGGGAAAGTGAAAAGGCCTTTGGGGCACCACGTGAGTCTGGTGCATGTGTTCAGGGACTAGCAAGGCTGGCATAAGCCGGGACAGAGTCGGTGAGGGGAAGCTGGGAGCTGGTTAGACAGAGACAGTGAATGGGACTGTGAGGGGCATATGAGTCTTTTGAAGATTCTGAGCAAAGGAATGACATGGTTTTTCTTAGTTGTGAAAGAATCACTGTCTGATGTGTGGAAAATAGATTATAAGGAAGAGGGAAGCCGAGAGACCACTTAGGAGTTGGCTGCAATAGTCCAGTGGAGATAGTGGCTTATGCCATTGTACTAATAGTGCGTAAGTGGTCTGATTCTAGTTATGTGCTGTAGGAAGAGCCTGCACGATGTACTACGGGACTGGATGTGCAAAAGGGAACACGGTACAATGAATCAGATGATTTTAACTTGAGCACCGGGAAGAATGACTGTTCCACTCACTGACTTACTGGAAGGGAGAAGTCTTGGGAGAGGAGCACATTAATACAGAGGAAAACCAAATGATTGATTTGTGTTTTAAAATTCAATTTAGGCATCCAAATGAGGATACTGAGCAAGCAGGTGGATCTCTGAGTTGGAATTCAGCTGAACAGCATTAGTGCAAAATGTCTTTTAAAGTTGTTTGATTTGTAGAATATCATCTGTATTGTTTTTTTCAGTGCTTCGAGAGGGTTTGGCTTGGTGATGACAAATGTTCCTTTCAGGTCTAAATTTGAATAATAATATCATGGTCAAAATGCCAATGGTACCTTGGAGGATCTGTTCTTTTATTTTTAGTTTGCAAATTGTGGCCATACTGTTGTGCACCCACTGCCTTCAGGATGAAGGCACTCATTTCCCCGCTGCTGGGAGTGTTGGGTGATTAGAGCTCATGGCTTTATTGTTTGAGGGAAACTACTCTCCTTTTGAAGAGGGCCTCCTTGCACACAGGCCTCTCCCTGTGTGCAGCTCACATCCAATGCCTGGCCCATGTAGGCCAGCAATCTCCTCAATTTGAAAACACTTTTGCACACATGTGTCACAGTTCTAGTTACATGAGTGTACAAACATTTGTCAAAATCATCAAGCCACACACTAAGACTTGTGCATTTTATTATATGTACCTCAATATAAAAAGATAGTAAAAAGGCATCATTAAGCTCATTCTGTTTAATTCTGTTCCCTTTTCCTTAGAAATATTCCAGAGAGCATCCTCTACTAAACCTCTGACACTCAAATCTCCATCTCAGATTCTGGTTTTTCTGTGTCACAAAATATATATTCATAAAGTGTTTTCCGTTAAAAAAAAAGTAAAAGATGTACTATGGTAAAATTGAATTTGGTATTATTTACATCATTTATTATAACTATCTAAAAATCTGGTTAAAAAAAAGCATTCAATTAAACTATATCCTATTTAGAATTTTTTCAGCTAATATAAATTCATCCAGGCAGAATCAGAGTCTAATGGCAAATATGGATTTTATTTGTCTTGTATTCCATTTTAAAGTTAAACATTAGACCATCACACCTAAAGGACACTTTAATACAATTATATTTAACAAACATTGAAAAAAATTGAACCAAATAACACTTCACTTGATAAAGTATCTCAGAAGAACACGGTATGTCCATATTTTTATAATGCAAGAACTTCACAAAAGACAGTGGATCAAACTCTCAGATCTTTTTTGCAGATTCTCATCTGTCAATCAAGTGCTCCCCTTCTGAACAGGTTGCTTTTCATCAGTTCAGGAAGTTGACATTTCTACGATTAAGATCATCTTGTTTTAAAAAATCTCTCCCCCTGACTTCCTGTGTTTTTCAGTATTATTTTTTGAAAACACTAAGAAATGGTTGTTTTGATGGATTCAGCTTGTTTACTTGACTGTTAATAAACCAGCAAACTTTAAGAATCAGAATGTTTCTTCTTTTTAGTTTCAAACAGCAAAGCCACTTTCACATTTAAACTTGCTGAGTGAATTTCTATAGCTTTTATTCTATATTTACTAATATTGATTAATTTTTTTGAAATAGAGGAAGAAAAATCATGAACAAAAGATGAGAGATAAACTAAAAAACTCATTATAGAATTGCTTTTCAAGAACAATACCCCCGAATACGGAAACATCTGTTTATCAGCTGCCTGCAAATAGCTAACCCTTATCTCTTCCTTCCTTTAGAATTTCAACCTTCAAATTTTTTCTTTTTTGTTGTTACAACTCTCTTAAGAGACAGCATGGGCAATGTTATTTAGATGACTTTAAAAGTGAATTTAAAAAAATAGCATGAAAGTGTAATTTCAAACTATATATTTCATAAAGAAAATGAAAGATTGTTTTCCTAATCCTAGTATTAAGGACTGAGGTGATTTTTAATATTTTGGAGGCAAGTATCCAGTTTAAACTATCTGGCTGGAAGTCCATGGTGGTACTTTTTTTCTCTTGTAACAAATCTGAAAAAGGGTATTATAGCATAGCTTAAAAACAATTTAATACATCTATTACATTATATGTCTCTTAACTGTTCTTATAAGTGATTTCTTGATGCATAAGCTAAATTTTGTTTTGTTTTCTTGACTAAAATTGTAAAATAGGAAACTTTATCAGTTCCTTTAATCTATACAGTGGCCTCGAATGGCTCTATATGGTCCCTCAAAAACCAGTCAGCAGTGAGGAGGTGAATTAGATTTTTTACTTGTATGGTTCCAAAACGGAGAACTGAAAGCCACATGTGAACACAACAGACGGGCCAATATCAGCACAGTGGTGGGGAGAACCTTCAAACAATTATAACTGTACAAAATTCAAATGCTCTGCTTACATATCATTTATTGGTCAGAAATATTGCAGCGGGGATTATGGCATTGGATAGTAAAGGTGATGTCTCATTCCAGTTCTGGGATTTGTCTAGTTAAATTGATGGCTTGTTTGACAATGCCCCACTCCAAATCAGAAATGTTTTAAATTTGTTTTGGAAAATTTTCATGTTAAAGCATCAAAGCATTTGTTCATTTGCATTCCTCCCTGTGCTACACAATTTGCTCACATCTGGAGACCACAGGTGAGTTTTAATTGTTTCTGAGCTAGCTGTCACTGAGGTTGCCGCGGGAGAGGTAACCTCTGAGCCGCTCTGAGGAGGAGGCCCCGCCGGGCTCTAGTGCAGTCCCCTTCCTGGGGCTCTGCGTGCAGCGACTGTGGCAGTGCTAATCAAAATCTTTCCAAGTTAAACCAACGGTGGCAGGCAGAATAATGGCCCCCAGGATGCTAATATCCTAGTCTGGGAAACTATCAATATAATTACTCAGCAAAAAAATTTTTGCAGATAGGATATTAACTGCCCTGAGAAGGGGGAGATTTTCCAGGTGGGCCCAATCTGATCACATGTGTCCTTAAAAGCTGAGAACATATCTCAGTCATTGTCAGAGAAGACAGGTCAGGAGTTGGAGAGAGGCAATGCTGTAATCTTTGAAGACCGTGAAAGGAAGCCACAAGCTAAGGAATGGGGGCACCTCTAGGAGCTGGAAAGGTGAGGAAATGGATTCTCCTCCAGAGCTTCCAGCAAAGAAAGCGGCCTTGCCAACATCTTGATGTTAACTCAGTGAGGCCGTGTCAGACTTCTAACTTACAGAGCTGAAGGATTATAAATTCGTTGTTTTAAACCGCTGCATTTGTAGTAATTTGTTACAGAAGCAATAGGAAACTTGTAGAGCATCCATCCATGGAGTCCCTGGACTTTCCTTCTGCAAAGAGGCTGTGGGAAAGCCTGCCGACGTGCCCAGCCTCAGCGTCCAGGGTACCCTCTCCAGCACAATACACACCGTCATTGCTTCACTGTCCTTCTGTGGTGCAGATGTGAGTATCTCCAAACAACTAAAAGACATGTATCATGATGATATTTTTATGGATTTCAAAATAGTGACTCTGGGCCATAGCAAGATCCAAGAGTTTTGGAATCAACTTATAAACATGATCATCAGCATTGTTATGATTTAGTATATACAGTAATATTATTACATTTTAATTATTTTAAAATGTTGAATCCATCAAGGCCCAGAACAAATATTAGAAATCTATTGTTGAGGTGTCAGATCTGATAGTGGCATGTGGCTCTATTTCAGCAGAAAAAGGCCTTCATGTAAAGCACAATAAATACACTTTTGATGCCTTCTCACTTCCTTTTCTGAATCACTCACTGCTTCTGGGCTCTCTCATGGCCATACACAGGCCACCGTTGCAGAACGCTGACATTATCTAAAATTATTCCATTCTCTGCTCACTTTCTTCTTTTCCCTAAAATCAAAACAAGTGTTTGTCTTTAGCAGGTAGGAAACCAGAAGATTAAAGTAACTCACTCTAAGGGTAAAGGTCTCAACGAGGGCACGTGAGGTTTGAGGAACTTCACCGTGGGATAGTTTTGAAGCAGAGTATTTTGAAAGGGATGTGTTTGTTGCCTGCTCTTGGCTCCACTGTGCAGTCTCCAAGCATACACTGAATATCTGCTAATGTATGCACAGCACAGCCCCGGCGTTTACGTTCAAGGACCTTGGAGGCAGACAAAGCTGGTTGAGTTCAGGCTTTGCCATTTAGCAGTTGTGACTAAGTTCCTATTTCCCATCTGTGAAATAAGAACCGTAATAGTAACTACCTCTTAGGTTTATTGTGAGGTTAGAGTGAAATCAAGCACATCAGCTGCTCAGAATAATGCGTGGTCTAGAGTAGAGACTCGATGTACTTTTTCTGCCAATGATTCTCTAGTTCAGGCTCTGGATAAGACATTTTTTGAAGACACCAAAAAAATAAAGAAGGCACAGCCATAGACCCCACAGAGCTCTCTCCCACCCGCCAGTCTTCTCCTGCTTGTGAGCAGGCACCAGAAAAGTAACAGCTCATTTAAAAAGTAGCTAACTCACACATACTTGGAATTTTCAAACAAATAATTATCAGCAGCAATAAAACCCTTTACCTACATCCTTGTGTATACATGGGCATTTAGTTATCTCCTTAGGATTTTCACCATTCAATGAGGGAGAAATACAGAGGAGAAATGTGACAAATTCAGGGGAGTTTTTCCCTCTTAATCATAATACACTGAAAGAATAAGTGGAGGTACTTTAGGAAAGGTTATCTTTAAGAAACCTTTCATGGTGGTTCAAAAAACACAAGGAGTATACATCTTGGAATATGTCTCCCCATCTTTTGCAGAAATTCTGACTTTTTTCAGGATACTTTTGTGGCTGCTGCAAAATAGAGATGCTGCCGCCTGGAGCTGAGGATACCAAGAGCGACTTGGCGAAGGTTGTTAGTTGTCAATAACTAATAATGGCTGCATGCTGAGGTCTTAAAAAAACAAAGCCAAAGCAAAAACACCTCAATTTTAATTTTTGGGTTAGACAAAAAGAGAATGGGCTATAGCCTGAACAATCCAAGAGAGGCCCTTCGAATCTCAGGAAAGAAGAATCCGATGTTTTTCAAAAGCTAAATTTAGGGGAAAGCCTTATTATAATAGCAGCAGGTTTCCTCTGTAAGTGATCCTATTTAGGACTGATCGCCCACCTGCACAGGCAGCCACAGTAGATGTGACTGGCAAGCATACCAAAGTCTCCATTCTTCCAGCTGATTATCGATGTCAACGAGTTGTTGTATTTTGAGGCGTTGTCATGGACTCGTTGGAAGGAACTGGACATGTTAGTTCCCTGTGTCTGCAATTCCATCAGGGATTCCATATCTGGATATTACGCCTAACTTCGTATCATTTTTGGAAGATTTTGGAACTGTATGGAGAAATACAGCAGAGTTACCTCAATTAAATCTTCATAAGAAAGCTATAGAATATCAAAACCGTGTTTTATAGTCTATATTCACTCTTACTTCTTGTCATTGTGAGTAGATGTTTACTATTGCAAACAGTGAATTGAGTATTTAATTCATGTGTGAAATTCAAATGTAATACAATTGCGTATATTGTTAGTACTTGGAGCAGAAATTGAGTTAAGTACCCTTCTTGGCACGAAAGGATAAATCTCTTAGAACACCTACTTTCTGTTGTAGAGAAGGTATGAATACTTACAAACTTGAAGTTAATCAATCCTTCCTAGGACAAACAAGTCTACAAATCACAAACTCACAAACTAGGCATGTCTCATCTGCACGTAGAGGTGTTGATTTTCTAGGAGTAACATTTATAAATTACTTAACATGGTGTCTGGCACATGGCAGATACTCAATAAATCCTAACTGTATTAACATTTAAAAGCAATATTTGATTGTGAGTACAAAGATCTAAAAATAAGTGGCTTAAAAATACATTAACTTTTTTCTCACGTACAATGAAAGTCCAGAGACAGGCTGTTCAGGGCTAGCATATTGAATGTTTTATATTATCAGTATCTTAGAATAATTTTATTTTCTGCTTTACTATTCTTAGCAGACACTTAATGTCCTTAGAACCACCTAATGCTCACAATACAGCTGCCATGATCTTAACTATCACACTCAGATAAAAGGAGAAAAGCTGGTTGTACAAAATGGTGAAGGCCAACTGAATCCACACTATTTTAAAGAAACTCACCCAGAGTCCCAACCAATAATGTTTGCTCAAATATCATTGTTTTGGACACAGTCAGATGTCTTCCCTTTTCTTTCAGGTAAGATGGCAAATGTATTTTAACTGGATGTATCCCCAAACTTAACAAACATAATTCTGTTGTTAAGAAAGAAGGGAAAATTGGATTTGGGTAGGAAGCTAGCAGTCTTCCCCACTGTTATTATGGTGATTATAATTATTTGGAGGTCTATGAATAAATGAGTCCTTTTTCAGTAGTTTGCTTCTCTGTGTGTCTATAATATTTCCCTCTCAGAAAGTGCTAGAGTCAGCTTATACTGGCTTACAAAAGCCAACTGATAAATTTTCAAGATTCTAACAAGTTGGTTATTAAACATAGTCATTATTAAAAATTAAATAGTATAAACAGAATTAAACTTTATTGGAAACAAAGATAATAAATATTTAAGATAGATAAATTCCTAATTGTTTTACTATATTTACTATTATCTATGCCCTTGAGGTTGTGTACATCTGTCGTTTCTATACAGTGAAAATTCTACATAATGAAAACCCATAGAATGGTATGCTGCTATACAGCTCTCCCCAATTTTGTATTCAGTGACTTAAAATTGGTCACGGAGGGAATATTTACACCATGGAAGCAGACAAATACTAAAGTGTGGGCCCTTTTTCCTGGGGAGTAGGCTGTCAGCATTTACCAGCATGCTTCTGCCTTACATTAACAAAAATGTTTTAACTGTTTCTATTTTAATGCTGGCCAGTATAGGGATCAGGGTAGGGACAAATTCAATGTTTCACTAACATTATAATCACATCCAGAAGGTTAACCAGTGAACACACGAGAAGAGGGAGGAACTCGCTTTGTCTCTATTCACATCTTGCAACAGTTCTCAAGGGACCTCTAGCAACACCAGCTGAATATTTCCGCTCTGAGCTAGAGAAATGCCTTTTCTGTGACTATTCTCTTGGAGGAAAGGGACTGCTATGTTTTCCCCAAGGACTACTACGTTTATTTATGGCCCTGTGAATTTGGAGCACTCATCAGAAAAGAAAGCAGTAGTTAAAAAGTAATTCTGCCTCACTGACTGTCACTCTTTGGAGGGTAAGGAAATGAGACATTTTGGGGGAATAAAGATGCAATATTAAACAGAAAATCAATGAGAACAATATAAGAATCATTTAAAAGGGTGATTTATAACTTCTTTTCTGTATCTGGTATTTAAATTGAGCCTATTAAATTAAAGCTAATTCTTTTTTCACCTCAAATGCTTTTCTCTTTTGCTATCTACAGTTGCGTGTAAACCTCCTGTCCCACCGTCTAGAGCTGGCAATGTTGTTGGAAATATCTATAGGAGAAAGCGGTTGAACACCCTACTCCTCTGGTGAGGCTCTAGGGAAGCAAGCTCTCCTTTTTGCTGAGGAGAGGATGTGTGAGTTAGTATGACCTTTATGAAGAACAATTTAGCAATATTTATCAAAATTGTAAATGCAAATAGAATCAACTCAAAGTCTATCAATAGGGAGTGGTTAAATAAATTATGACAAATATTTACAATGGAGTGCTATTTATCTGTTAAAATAATCCTAGGAACTATATAGTGGGAAAATGTGTCAGAACAGTGTGTTTATACAACTTTTGTGTAAAATAAGAGAAAATAAAAATCCATATTTATATATATGAGTATGCATAACTCTAGAAAGATCCATAGACTCTAAGAATAGCGATGTATATGTGGGAGGGAGAGAGGTTCTGGATAGATGAGGGACAAGGTTGAAATGAAAAGAACAATTTTTTTAACTTTTTAACTTTCATAGTTGTTCATTTTTTGAGCCATGTGAACATATTCTCTAATTAAAATTAAAAATATTTTCAACCCGTGTACATAACTTGTAGGGCTTAACGAGAAATAAACTTTCCATCTGTCAGCAAAGACATTATTTATTTCTCCTGGTTTAATAAGGAGCTCTAGTTGTGAGATGGCTCACTAAAGGGTTAATGGAAGAGAGTTAATCAAAGTACCATGTGTGGGGATGTGCTGGTTTAAGGGAATCAATGGGGGAGAGCGAGGTAGGAGGACCTAGCAAGAGCAGTGTGCCTGCCGGAGCCCCCGGTGGGTCAGGTTGGGAAGGTCATGGGGGTGGGGCTGCCATGGGAGCACCAGCTCTGACTGCACAGTGCAGCCACTGCTCAAACTGCGAGGACAATGTGGAACAAAAAGAATTAGTATTCCAGTCTTCCTGTCCTTCCACCCTCAGTGTACTACTAGTGCCAAACAGAAGCCAAGGAACCAGGAAGCCTGGGCATCCTCTGCACCACGGTTATCTTCCTAGGGGACAAAGAGGAGGAGCAGAGGGTGGAGAATGAATCCAAGCAACACATGAAAGAAATCTAGTACGGATGACACTGCACCTTAAGTGTGTGTGTAAGTCCACCCATATATGTTATATAAATGAGATAAAGATGGCCCCTGTGTTGTTTACTTCTTCACAACAGGCTAGGATCATTAGCTCAGATCTTACCAGCACGAGACTCAAACATTTATATATCCAGTTGCTTTAGATACTTTCCAAGTAAGCATATGTTTAGCTATTTAGAGACTGCCTGCTTTGTATAGCCTTATGAAGCTGCACGCATCATCTGCTAGCTATAGATAAGGCAAACTCTGGGACTATAGAAGACTGCAAGCTCCTGCTGCGCCTTGGGACCCTCTGACCCAGAGACTACCCACTTTGTAGCTGAGCGACATCATCCAGGCCCCGTCTCTGATTCCCCTCTCTCCAGGAGTTTCGTGCCTTCTACCCTCTGGATGAAGGTTTCCTCTAGTTTCTGAAGGACTTCCCTTCTCATGCAACCTGTCAAAGCACCACCCAGTATAGCTCATTATGCAACACTGCCACCTCCTGGTCCTGCTTTTTTCCTCCATCAGCTCTCAAATCCTCTAATTCATCAGTGTGTTCATATACGGATGACTACTTAATTCAACCAATGTAAATGAGTAGCCCATTCAGATGTTCAGATAATTTTTAATGAGTTATTCCATTTGGTTCCTAAAATAGCAGATTAAGTTCTCTTATCCCCACTCAAAAGTTAAATGGCTTGTCGAAGGTAAGAGGGCGTGGCTAAGCCAGGATGTAAACTTGGATAACCTACTGACTTCAAATCCTAATCCTTTCCCCATACCACACATAGGATTCTTCTTTAGTCCCCTCAACGCCATCATTTTCTCTGTTCCTCCGCTGTGGCCTGGTGTACAGTGTTTATTAATGATGAGTCTGCCTTTCAAGGGGGACGATAAGACAGGGTCAGAGGTTCATCTGAGGCCCAGAGTTTAAAGGCTCATGAAAACTGCAGCTTAAGACTTTCTGAATCTCCAGTTTACCAGCCATGTCATGTAACTGTATTACTTAAAAAAAAACTCCCACTCTAAAATCCCTCATATATGTTGTGTAAGATAAACTTCTTAAATGCTAAACTTGGTTCGTAAGATGAAGAATAGATGTAGGGAATGAGGAACAAAGCCAGAGGCTGTAACATCTGAAACCATCCCTGCTGAGTGTACTATTCAATCTCTATGTCCCAAAGCCTTGGCTTTTTGTAACTATACACAGGACAGGAAATTAGGTCTTTTGGAACTCAAACAGGGATTGGAATGGAGGCCCCATATAAACCTTAGGACCATGAAATTTTACATTTACAGAAAATGATAAACTTGTAAAATTTGCTTACCAGCAAAGAGAAACAATAAGGAATGTCATCGGTTGTAGGCTTTAGACAGAAGTAATTTGGAGGATTGAAATCCATTTTTCACTTGCCTGTGTGGCCCTCAAAACTAGAAACTAACTCAAAACTAGGCAACTAATTGTATGTGGTCCCAAACCAGTTAACAACTCAGACACCTGGTAGAAGCAAAAGCAAATCTGTGTCCAGCTATCAGATCTCACTGAAATCCTACTTACAAAGCCTACTCATTGAACATGAGTTCATAGCCCAAAATTACTAAGCGTAAGGAGAAAGGTGACCATGAGCAAGAGTTACTGAAACCAAGAAAAAAATCGGATTTGATCCTTTGACTCCCAAAGGCCTTGGTTATGCACATTTCTGGATATAGAATTACACTCACACATAATTATTAGATAGAAAATAATATAATGTGTTTAAGATTTGCAGAAGATTTGTGCTGAGTATGACATTCCATTTCTTGATTT